AAAAAAAAAAATTGAAACCGGGGAATCAAGCAGATATTTGCATAGCCATGTTCATAACAGCACTGTTTGCAATAGCTAAGAGGTGGGGACAGTCCACATGTCTGTGGACAGATGAGTGCATGTACACTATGTGATGGGTCCATACGTTGGGAAAGTATTTAGCTTTACAAAGGAAGCATCTGCTGGCTGGGCACAGTGGCTCACGCCTATAATCCTAGCACTTCAGGAGACAGGTGGACTGCTTGAGCTCACAGGTTCAAGACCAGCCTTAGCAAAAGTGAGACCCCATCTCCCCTAAAAAGAAAAACAGCCAAGAGAATTGTTTGAACCCAAGAATTGGAGATTGCTGTGAGCTGTGATGCCACAGCACTCTACCCAGGGAGATAAAATGAGACTCTGTCTCAAAAAAAAAGAAAGACCCTCACACAGGCCGTACCATGGCTGAACCTATCATGTGCAGTGGGATACGCCACTCAGAAAGGGACAGATACTGTGTAATTCCACCCAGAGGAGGTCCCTACAGTCCTCAGAGTCCCAGACACAGCAGGTAGAATGGTGGATGCCAGGGGCTGGGGATGGGTGCAGAGAGTGTTTCATGGGGACACAGTTTCAGCTTGGGAAGATGAGAAAGTTCTGGAGATGGAGGGAGGGTGGTGATGATTACACAGTACTAAGTATACTGAATGGCACACTTAGAAATGGCTAAGAGGGTACATTTTATGTATTTTTTTTTTTTTAGTAGAGGGCCTTAGTGTCACAGCTCACAGCAACCTCAAACTCTTGGGCTCAAATGATTCTTTTGCCTCAACCTCCCAAGTAGCTGGGACTACAGGCACCCACCGCAATGCCCGGCTTTTTTTTGAGACAGAGTCTTACTATTTTGCCCTTGGTAGAGTGCTATGACGTCACAGCTCACAGCAACCTCCAACTCTTGGGCTTAAGTGATCTCTTGCCTCAGCCTCCCAAGTAGCTGGGACTACAGGCGCCTACCATAATGCCCAGCTATTTTTTGGTTGCAGTTGTCATTGTTATTTGGCAGCCCCGGGTTGGGCTCTAACCCGCCAGCGTCAGTGTATGTGGCTGGCACTCTGCTCACTGAGCTACAAGTGCTAATCCCTGGCTATTTTTACAGGTGAGCTCTCACTCTGGTTTAGGCTGGTCTCGAACCTCTGAGCTCAGGTAATCCATCCACCTCAGCCTCCCAAGTGCTGAGATTACAGGCATACCTGGCACCTGGCCTAGAATTCAACTTTTTTTCATGAAAATTTATTTCATTTCCTCAGTATCTTAAACAAAATGTTTTGTTTTGTTTTTAGAGACAGAGTCTCATTTTATTGCCCTCGGTAGAATGCTGTGGCGTCACAGCTCATAGCAACCTCTAACTCCTGGGCTTAGGCAATTCTCTTGCCTTATCCTCCTGAGTAGCTAGGACTACAGGTGCCCAGCTATTTTTTTGTTGCAGTTTGGCCGGGGCCGGGTTTGAACCTGCCACCTTCGGTATATGGGACTGGTGCCCTACTCACTGAGCCACAGGAGCTGCCCCCAAACAAAATGTTTTTAAAAGTATCATCCTTGGCTTGGTGCCTGTGGCTCAAGGGGCTAAGGCACCAGCCACATATACCTGAGCTGGTGGGTTCAAATCCAGTCCAGGCCTGCCAAACAACAATGATGGCTGCAACCAAAGAATAGCCGGGCATTGTGGTGGGCGCCTGTAGTCCCAGCTACTTGGGAGGC